CTTGGCAGTGCCTCCAGTGGTACTACGTTCAACAGACCCTCCATCCCGAGAAACAGGTAGAACAGCAATAAAAGAAGGATGCAGTCACTCCCTGTAGACACAATTGAATTGTTTCTTGCCGCGGACTAACCTTTTGCAGGTCATATGCTCATTTCTTCAGCATCCCCAAGGAGGTTGGTAGGATAAAAGATTCCGTGTTTTCACTAAATCTTTTTCTCTCAGTTGATGGTAGGCTGTCAGTCCAGCAGGTCGGGGAGATCTGGGAAAGGGTGATCTCAAAGACAGTGACATAGGAAGAAGCTGCAAGACTTGAGTGCCAGAAAATAAGGAAAACCAGAGTGCTCATAGAGACTCTTCCTTTTAACTCTCCAGGTGGTGAGGAAAGGAGGCAGGGAGGCTTTTACAGTTAATTGCTACAATTCTGCAAAAGAAAAACCAACTCCCTGGGGGACAGGAGATTGGCCTGGCAAAACAACTTGTTCCTCTAGAGAGATGAAACTGGACGACTGCACGATTGTGACTTGTGTACAACAAGAACCAGAGCTGGGGACAGATCATGACCCTTGTCCTCATCCACTGCAGTGCATCACAGATGCTCAGGCTCGAGAGGAACCACCCAAGCACAAGCCCAAGTCCCACCTTTTCCACAGCTCCTCAGCAGGTGCCAAAAGACCTGCTGATGGTATTTCTGACACTCTTCCAACTCGAAGGAGATTCATATGGGCGTGCTAATGCAGCTGCGAAAAGGTGGATGTGCACTTGGGGGTTTTAAATGTGGCTAAATTCAACTACTGACAAGAATAGCTGAACAGAAAATTTGAATACACAGCGGTTATCTTGCTTAAATGACCAAGAGATAAGTAAAGAAATTTTGCAGACCAGAGCCTGGCCCAGATCATGTTTAATTGGCAGCAAGTTCTCCCCTTGACCAAGTCAGCCTGAAATAAACACTTAAGCTTCTGTGCATAGCTGAAAGAGTAAATATGTGTCATCTGTTTGTCCTGGTTTAAGGGGAGGAGAAAAAAAAATAATTCAGACTGGGCTTTGTTATAAATAGCACAAGAGAGACAGCTCAGCTCAGAAGGTGGCTGCAGAGCTGGCAGTGCTAGACAGGATCTCCAGAACAAAACAAAAAAAATTCCAGGAAATCCCCAGTGTCACTTCTCCCCACAATTGATTTAAAAAGGAGCTTATCCCTTGCACTTGGTACATGAGGAAGAAGAAACTTCCTGGCTATGACGGGGGGAAAACACAGTTATTAACAGCACCACAATGAGCAAGTATCAGAAGTTATGCTGCAGCCCTGGAAGATCTTGGCTGGATCTTGAAAATATCTGTTGCCGTAGCAGTAATTGCTATACATGGTAACAGTGAACAGAGTGTGAGAACAATTTACTTTTTGATTTGGTGCCCAAAACAAGTCCCTTTTGTTTTCTCTCACCAAAACCTCAAGCATTTATTAGCTTGTGTTCAGTCCAAAACTGAGCTTTTCACTTTCAGCAGTGGCAAGGAAGGCAGCAGAAAAGGGGCAAATTCAGAAAGACATCAAAGCTGGCAGTGCTCTCTCCATCCTTCTTTTACAGCATAGCCGATGGATTGGGGCAAAGATCTGGACCATACTCAACTTCCCTTTATATTTGATGCCCACCTAGATGGTCCTCATCTGCCTCCAGTACATAGTATTTGCCACTGATTTTAAAAAAAAAAAAAAAGAGAGAGAGAGAAAAAAACAGAGGCACTTATTCTACTTCCAGCAGTTAGAAGCCAGGACTCCTCTGAGATGGGATGACCTGATGCTCACTTAATAGTTAATATGATACCAGACCACAGTGGTGGTGTGACTTTTTCATTCTGTTGTCTGCTCCCCTCTTTGCCGTTCACAACCTCCTCTTCCCTTCCTGCAGTGCTGCCAAACACCAGCTGATACTTCTGCAGAAACACTTGTTACCCCCAACCTCATTCCTGAATTTCAGTGCTCAGGATTTCTTACCTCATTTACTCAGAGCCCATCACTGTGCACGTGGATCGTGGCGCACACTGCCCCAGCCAT